ATTTAAAAGGTCTACTTTCTATTATTTCAAAGAGCATTTTAAGAAAATCTTTAAAAATATTTATTACCTGTTACTTCTCTGCCAACCTCTTAGGGGTCTGAACACATACCATTTTGTAGTCTTTTAAAACTTTGTCCTTATTTAGGATTATTTATAAGTTCTAAACTTGTTACTGCACAAATTCCTTTGTAATGTATATTACATTTTAGAACCTCATAATTTTTTTTCATTTCTTTTGCTTATATTAACTCTCTGATTTGGCTTTCAGATCACTCACAGATAGACAAATCTCTGAATTGTATATTAAGTGGCGTAAACATTCCCAGATAATTAAGGACAGTGATTTTAGCTTTCAGGAGCCTATCATGGCTCTACGCACTGTTATTTTGGAGATCCTGATGGAAAAACAAGTGGAGCTCTCTCAAAGAGAGTGCTTTAAGGACATTCTCACCAAACACCTTATAGAATTCTCTGTTCTGGCCCGAACTTTCAAGAACACTCAGGTAAATAGGATTTAAAATTATATCATCTCACCTCTTGGCCTTTCCTTTTATTATATAACAAAAAGCATGAGTTAATTAAGAAATTGAGAAATAGAGATCAATGTTATATAGTGTAGTGTAATTGTTAAGATTTCCTGTGTTAGGCAAACTTGAGTTTAAGCCTTGAACAAGGCAATTACCTTCTTTCAGCCACAAATTCTTGGTTAAATAAAGAGAATATACCTAACTTACTATATTGATAACAATTCAGTGATTTCACACGCATGCACATTTGTAAATATGAAGAGAGAGAGATGAAGGGTAGAAGTTGGAAGGCAAGCAGAGAGGTACTTTAAGACAGTCCCTGACAAATAGTCACATTTTCATTGAATGGTAGTTACTGCCTTTATTATTATTAGTGGTAATAGTAGTAGTAGTAAAAGTATTTTTATTATTATTTGCCATTTTCATTTCAGCTACCTGAAAGGGCAATATTTCAAATCAAACAGTATAATTCATCTATTTGTGGTGTCTCTGAGTGGCAGCTAGAAGAAGCACAAGTATTCTGGGCAAAAAAGGAGCAGAGTCTTGCCCTGAATATTCTCAAGCAAATGATTAAAAAGTTGGATGCCAACTGCACAGAGGTTTTTTGTTTTGTTTTTATTTACTGAAATGATGTTATGTTGTTATG